AAGGCAGATAATAGAACAACCATCTTCACTAACTTAATGCCACCATACATCCACATCCACCTTGTGTCATCCCACACCCACACCCACCTAAAGTCACCACACACCCACATCCACCTAAAGTCACAACACATCCATATAAAGGCACCACATATCCACACCCACATTAAGTCACCACACATTCACACCCATCTTGTGCCACCACCCACACACACACATCCAATGTCACCGCCCATGTCTCCACACCCATACACACCTCACGTTACCACACATCCACATGCATGTTTTGTCAGTGTCCATATCTTATGCCACACGTCCATACCCACATATCACCATACACCAACCTCATGGCCAAATACCCATCACCATATACCCATATCCATCCTATATTACCATACACCCGCCTCATGCCATCAGACACCCATATCCTTATTATATTACCACATACCCACATCCACCTTGGGCTACCACACACCCACTTTATGCTACGACATAGCACAACACACATTTCATGCCATCCATACCCACCATACATCCAGACCTATCTTATGCCATCACACACCCATATCCACCATATACCCACACCCATCTTATGCCACCACACGCCCACACCCATCTCATTCTAACATACACCCATACCTACCATACTCCTGCACCCACCTTATGCCAGCCCACACCCACACCGATCTTATGCCACCAAACGCCCACACCCATCTCATTCTAACATACACCCATACCTACCATACTCCTGCACCCACCTTATGCCAGCCCACACCCACACCCATCTTATGCCACCACACACCCATCTAAGGCCACCACAAAACCACATCTCCCTTGCTTCAAGTGCATATCTTTTATAAGGCTGATGTAGCATTCAGGTAGTGAGTATTGCGACCTACTCATGCCCAGACAGCCTGGTATTGATCCATGGGGAATGACACAAAAACACACACAGCTCTGTTGCATTGTCTGGCTGAAATCGAATACAGTAATTATGTATATTATAAGGGCACGATAATACTCTTTTTTTTTTGTCAAACTCGGACTGTTTTCATTTCTTCATTCACAGTTGTTGTTGTTTTTTTTTTTTGTTTTTTTTTTTCCGATAACTTGTTGGACACCTTTGTCAGGATAACAGCGCACAGGTCATTGGCCTGTAAAGTGTATTTTAAGAATTGTGTGACGGAGGCTATATGGTGTGCCCCCACCCCTCCCCTCTTCTCCTCCCCCTCCCTCAGTCTACCTCCAGTCTTGACCTTAAGGGCTATAACCTGATCAAGATGGCTGACAGGGGATCGGAAATTTGTCAGTGAGGAAATATTGAACTTTCTGGGTTTTATAATGACACTGTTATTATTACAATGCCAGATTTGAGAAAGATTCCAAATTTATGAAAATTTAAGTGTGGATGTTCTAATCCAGGAAATAAGGGAAGCATTTGGAATGTGAGGCTTATCAGAATAGATAAAAAATGTCTTCGGGGACATGATTCAGAAAAGCTGATTATATTATTTTTAACACAATTGAATTACTTTTTAACACAATAATGGCATGTAAATGATTTTTGTTCAAAGGAAATTGGGAATTATATGTTTTCATTTTCTTTTATAACAGTTATGTAATTTGAGACCAGGACCTAATTTAGTATAGAAATTTTAGCAGTCCTTGAAACACTTTTATGTTTAAAAACCTGAAATGGTTTTGGAAATTACCCCCAATTTCTGTTATTTCCAGTTAACACTTTCTAATTAACTTATAGATTATCATAAACATATGTCATTATTGTAATAAAAAGTTGTTAGGCTACAACCTTTTGTAAAAAAAAAAAAAATGAACTAGAACCATTATAAATATTGAATGATAAATGTCAAAATCAAGTTGAAATCCCAAAGTCAGGGGTTATAACTTAGTAGCAATTCAAAAACCTACATCTTTACATAGAACAATATATATCTTCATGAACCTGTTCTGTATCACAGGTGAAAAGAGAATTGATGAAACAACATCATGTACTGTTTAACAGTTGGAGTTGTATTGTTCAGCAACAGAGATACCACTCAAAACACACCTGGGCATCAATTTGTGTATAAGGGCAGGCCCGTAGCCAGGGGGGTTCAAAAGAACCGTCCCTTTTGCTGGGAAAAGGTCCACTCTGGGTAAAATTTGATCTAGGTGCGTGAAGTTTTTATGGAAAAAGGTCCACTTTTTCAGAAAAAGAACCCCCCTTTTGAAATTGCTGGCTATGGGCCTGATGGGTCTGATTGACTGAAAGTTAATAAACATTTTAATTAAAACCAACGCTAGTATTTATCTGGTTTAAGTGCAGTAAGAAGTCTGGATCTGAATGGGACCGATTGAAGTATGTGTAATCGGTCAGTTGTCCAGTCTACGTTGGTCATTTTGCTGATCATTCAACTCCTGGATTATAAGTCAGCTGGTGGATGCAAAGCAGTGGAAATAGCCCTCAAATAGGAATCGGCCTTGAAACGAAATTAAGGTGAACCCGTTGATGAATGGGGCCCTGTTGTGTTTCTTTCTATTGAAATATGCATTAGTGAATAGAGTCTGAGTGAAAAAACAAGGACGTAATACCAATTCATGAGGGCTTATCTAAATGCTGGTAACAGCTTACAACAACCCTGTATATGTGCGGATGATATTATGGCTTGAGAATGAATGCCATTTTTGGATATGTGTAAGAAAGATGAATCTTCATGTGAATTATAATATTATTTTGTGTAGTTGAGATGATCTGAAAATTGTAAAAAACGGAAAAGGCAACAACTTTTCTGTTTATTTGATTATCTGTTTTGGTTGTCTGGTGCTGTGGTTTTATAAAGCTATTATGTTCATACAAGGAAAATAATGACTATAAAGCTGTTAAATTCCTATATTTTTATTGTCATTTTTTTGTAGCTTGAGCTAATACTTTACAAATAAAATCCTGTGGCACAAATGGCAGGGTGACATTCACATTTCCCTCTTGTTCCTCCCCCCTCTTACACACACACACACACACATACACACACACACACACATATTTTTTTCCTGATTTAAGTTATACCTGGATTTTAAACAAGGTTTAAAAGCTCCTCATGAAGTGAACCGTATCTTGTGAAGAACTCGCTAGTGACCCAAAGGTAGTTATAAAATAGGTGGTTCAGGCACAGCTAGGGAAGCTCTAGTGTTATCAGCAGACAGTTAAGTAAATAGCAAAACGGAAAGGTAATCTATAACAGCCCTTACAGTGGTGTCTGTCTGGCTGGTAAATTTAGAGCTGCAAGGGTCTGATGTGGTCACTTTGGTCCAGTCCAGTGTAGAAATTTTAGAAAGGACAGTGGAAAGTGTTTTTAAGAAATTAGGAATGTGTAGGTGGTGATTTGCGTTCAAGGCTGGAGGTGTGTGTATGTATTCTTGTATGCGTGTGTGTGTGTGTGTGTGTGTGTGTGTGTGTTTGTGTCAGGGGCGGATTTAGGCCGTCTTCTGTGTCTTCCAGAAGACGGTCAGATTTTCAAGTTTACATTGACGGGTATCTTTTTTTTTTCTGTCGGAAGACGGTCAAAAATGGAGGACGGATCAACAAAGATAATTTGGAAGACTGTCAGAAAATATCTCTGAATCCGCCCCTGTGTGTGCCCATGTGTGAGTGTGTGTGTCTATCTGTATGTTAAAGAAAGATATAGAGAAAGTTAAAAGGTACACAGCTCAGATATTGAACTTCCTTTTTTTTTTTTTTTGGCTTATTGATCTGTTATTGGTTCCCACAGGAAAATCTTTACACATACTTCACCATTGTTACATTTGGTAAACAGTCTTTAGAAAACCCCCGCGACATTCTCCATTTTATCCCTACTTTGTTAAACATTAAACCTGAGTGAAATTTAACTCTAAGAAATCTTTTCTAACCTGTTCAGTTGATGCAATACCCCCCGTCTAAAGCATATAGAACACAAAAAGATATCAGCTTGTTTCTGACCTAGATAATCCACCACAGTAACTGGGTCAAGACTCAAGAACACTGTGGGTTACATTTTAGCATTTTAGACAAATGACTTGATTTATTTAGTGAGTTTAGTGAGAGGGAGGGGGAGGCACTTCAAATTACTATGATGCTATCAGAGGGGATGTTTTAGATTTTATAGGCATTACATTGGGTAAAACTTACTTTGATTTTTTTTTTTTTTAGCGGATTTTTTTTTCTTTTTTTTACATAAAAAACCCTTGTAGAGAGATTTAAATGATTGAGAACAATTTCCAATTTGTCTGAGAAAAGTATGGAATGTTTCACTTTTTTGTTCTGAGTCACAAAAATAATCTTCCGGTTCAAATTTTTGAGTAACTTACCAGCAAAGATAGTTGTCTTAAAAAATTTTATCTGAAAGTTAGCCTGATAAAAGCTTATACTATATGTCCATGCTGCTCCACCCTCTTGTATTTCATTTTTACAACAGGGCGTATCTGCTTTTTAAAAAACCATGATATCAGCGGTCACTCCATCATACCTCTATACAGAATCACATGGCAAAATCTACACACCATTAATGTATTGTAATGACTCCAAATGTCCTGTCGAACAAGAAAAAGATGGGGGAGGGTTTCGGTATTTAAGATGTGATAGAGATGGTCAGACGTACTTAAAAAAAGATTATGTGTAATTTGTATTTCATGATAATCGGTCAAACTGTCCGTATGATGGGAAGTTGAGTGTGGTGCCACATTTTTTTTTTTTTTTTTTTTTTTTTTGGTCTTCTGTTAAGTGGTAGGTTTAAGTGGTGACCGTTCCATAGGATGACCACCGAGGGGTCAGTTGAGATGGTGTGATGGCCAGTCTGTATTTCACTCAGGTCGTTTTAAAAGGAAAAAAAAAATGAAGTAAAGAAAAACTTGTATTTTTCTCCTAAACCCACATTTTGCCACCACAACCACAAAGACAAAAAATAAGCGTTTTTGTTCGAAGTAAGTCATATTTCAATTTTTAATGATTTTGCAATCTTTTCTTCCAGATCTATTTTGACGAGGGATTGAGTCCGCCATGGCAGAAGCATATGTATGGAGTCGACTACAGGTGAGTTTTGACCAGTCACATTATATATCTAAGTATCCAAGTACACACACATATGTATATATATACACTCAGGCCAGTCCAGGGCAGCTAGAATGTAATAATAGGCATTTTAATTTGTTTTTAAAATAAATTTGGTTTACAATACTTCCATTGCCTATTTACCCTAGAGTATTTTATAATATTTGCCTAGTTAAATTTGTGTAAATCGCGTTGAACTTATCAATGGTCAGAAGCAGTTTAAACTAAACAAATGTGCTTAGTCTTTGCCTATTAGTGTCTTGATCAAACTGCTATTATGAAGGGATAACAACTATGGGTTTTGAGATTCATACTTCAAAATAAATACATTGTAAACAACTCCTAGAAATATAATATATTCCATATTGCCACCATAACAGAGGTTAACTTAATTTTTCTGGAATCTGTGCTTGCCGTCAGACCACGTGGACCTTCATAGAAAGCTGTAACTCCTTAATAATCTTTTAAAAATTATTTTAAAAAAAAGAAAAAAAAAGATGGACTAACTGTGAATGTAGAAATGGATTCATTAACCATTGGAAAGTATGGGAAAATCATTGTTTACCCCAGGAAAATCTTTTTTTTTTTTTTTTAACCAAAATGAGCAGTTGTTGTACCTTCAATGAATAAACATCAAGGTCAATATTTCTGGCAGTAATAACATGAACCCCATTTGACTTACATTGTTTTAAAGGCATTCTATCCAAGACCCCCCCTCCCCCCGTCTCCCCCAAATGAAAATGATAATAATAAAGGACTAGCCCCTACACTTGGATTCAATGTTTCACACCAAGGCATTTCTAATAAATGATCTAGAGTGGGGAATCACATGATTTTAGTTCTAAGGTATAACCATTTTGATAGTTTGAATTAGAAAAGATTGCCAACTTTGCAGGATAATTTAGATATAAAAATAAGGAAAATTTTGAGATGTAGATAGTATACCTTAAAGGTTGAAAATTATAGTCCAGTATTATCCTGAATTTGTGTGAAGAAGTCCAGTAAACTGTATGAACTGTATATAATTGCTTGTTTTTTTTTTTGGAAATAAACCTAATATCCTAATTAAGTGGGCTTATACTGACTGATCATGGATCAGTTTAGACTAAATTTTTCCTACCTCCTTTTCACATAAGTTCCTGAAATATCAAAAAAGAAGGTAAGTCGTTACAACAGATAACTAATTCATGTTTTGTGAAAATTATTAATTAGGATATGAAATTCAGTTGAATAGTAACCTGTCACTGGATTTTAGTACAAAACTTTTAAGCTGCTGGATAGTAATAACTAATTTCTAGTCTGAGTCTTCCCATGTGTGAACAGGACAAAATAGAATAATGTATTTTCCCAATTAGCAGTTTATCCAGTATTTATAGTAATCTTAATGAAGCCATAGTGCCTGGATTAGCTAATCCATAGTAAGTTTTAAAGGATTCCTGACAGTTGTAATACCCCTTTAATTGCTGGGTTGGGCAGGGAGGGATGACGATAATTGGTAAACCAAAATAACCCCTACATCTTGATTCACACAATTTGCTTAATAGGTCTCTAGCTCTTTGTGTCCTTCTTTAGTATTTTTTAATACTGGATTGCTATTTCAGGGATTCAGTCTGCAAATCTGAGGGTGTGTTCACACAAATTGATTTGTGGATCAGTTTGAAGTGGGCGTAATGTTCAACAAAGGCCACATCGAGCACCATTTTAATCCAAATCTTTCAAGGCTTATTAACAGTATATTAGTATAATTTGAATGCCTCCAGTAGCCTCCTTCTCTACCTATTGTCTTGACTGTGAGATAAAAGGAATAAGGCGAACTTCACCAGTTGGTTTTCGAAAATCCCAACCTGAGCAGAAATCATTCAAGATAGTCTTAGGCCCCATTCAGAATGGATGATCCGAGTACTTACTGATGCGCTGACTAAATATGGTCGATCACAGTTCAAAAGCGATGCTGCTGATTCCTGATGGCCTCCCCGCCTTCACACGAGGAGCAGAGATTTCATCCATTTAAAAGGGCGCGTGAAGTCTGGAAACCATCAGGAATCGGCGGAATCGTTTTTGAACTGTGGTCGGCCATATTTAGGCGGCAGATCAGTTATTACTAGGATCATCCATTCTGAATGGGGCCTTAGACTTGGCATACATGGCATCATGTGACGTGTGAAAACATGCATAAATCCTCATGAGTTGGGATTAACTTTTCAGAGTCTCATTGATAAGGGCGAAACTCTCATTAACCAGGAATGATGTTAGATAAAGTGTTACAAAAGTGACACGCAAAACATGGCAAATTTTTACTGTTATGTAAAAAAGATTGTAAGAAAAAAAAAAAAAAACAACCAGAAAAATATCCATGGATAAATTCAGGCTTTTCTGTTGTTGCCACACCACACTTACTAGTTTGCCAATTATTTTGTCCCTACTTTTCTCAAAATCTTGTGAAATTGCACTTGATTTTACAATAAGTCACAAGACTTCAGTCTATATAAGGTAATTACCATTACAGAGAGCTTTTCCTGCACCTTACCCAAAAAACCATAGATCTACATCTACATTTCAATTAAATACAACATCATCAACATCAGTAACAACAACAGTAATGACGCACAGCATTGTTTTGTTTTTTTTCCAGCAGCACCATCAGCTACAGCAACTGCACCAACAGCATCAGCTGCAGCAACAACATCATCATCATCACCATCAACAGCAGCAGCAGCCACAGCATATGCAACAGCAGCAACAACAACAGTTACATAATCAGCAACAACAACAGCATAGTCCTGTGGCAAGCTCTGGTTGTAGCAGTTCAAGCTTGACTCTGAATACAAGAAATAGTACAGGTAAGTGAGGATATGGTGTAGTGTGGTATGGAATGCCTATGGTATGGCATGTGGTATTGTATGGTATACTATACCTATGGCCTGATATTCCCATGGTATGCCTATGCTATGCTCTGGTATGGTATTGTATGGTATGGTATGCCTATGGTATTGTATGGGATGGTATGCCTATGGTATGATGTGCCCTTAGTATGCCTAAGGTATGATATGCCCATAGTATGCCTATGGTATGGCATTACAGTTTGTGCCATTAACTTTTCAGCTTTCTGGCCATTTGGACCACCAATTTCCTGAAATCTACTGGCTGGAACTGTGATTCACTGGTCTGGATAATAATTTTAATAAAAGAACTTTAAAAAAAGCAAAAAAAAAAAGCAAAATATAAAGCTGGATATTTCAAAAGAGAGAAAAGTCATGCATGAGGTTCTTTTGCATATTTCCCGGTTTTGCCAAGATTAGTAAAGTGATCTCGATATTCACATAACGTCCACCAAGAAAAATAATTGAAAAGGGTCTCAAAGCCCACATTCAGTATCAAAAAGGATTTTTCATCCAATGGGACACTTGGTCGCTGACAATTTTAGTGAAATTTCCTGTATTTTCTTTAAAACTTATTGCATCTAAGACACTGGTTCCTGAACAATAAAAATGAACAGTATAGAATGAAAGGGTGAGGACAAAAAAAGGGGACAACAGGCCCTGTAGTTTAACCCTCATTAGGTTGCCTTCACCTCTCCTACACGGGTTACCAGGATGACGCAAGGGGACCGCATTTACCAGCACTTGTTTTTCCAGTTTATTGCTACAATTTCTAATTGTTTGGACAGACAGAGCAGAGTTGTACATATTGCCCCAGGTCCACTTCCAACAGTTTCTTACACAAGGCAGGTTTCCACTTTAGAATATATGCTCGATTATTGATCTTGGTGCTCAGTTCACTGAAGTCAGTGGCTGGTTTCTGAGAAGAACTTTAGCCAAAAAAACCTGGCCCCAGTTTCACAAAAAACTTAAGTCAGTTTCTTGGCTTAGTTGACTAGGACTTGAGATTGCTGTTACACTGCTCATGATAGGGTAAGATGTGCCCAAAGGACCATGTAACCTTGGTAATTAAGTTATTAGCCTAAGTTTTTTTGTGAAACCAGGGCCTGGTCTAAACTTCTAGACTACAATTTGAGCTACTTCATTTCAAGCTAAATTTAAATTAGTCTACTTTAGTTTAAAAAACAGGCCCATACCAATAACCATTGCTTTCTTGCTGTTAAAAAAAAAAAAGAAAAGAAAACAGTGAAACATTTTCCTGAATAGAACAAAATTTAAATATCTAGGGTCAAATCTGTCTGTCTGGTCTTAAAATTAAGACTAAATAATTTTCAGGTGAAAGTTTTTTATGAAACATCTCGGGTTCAGATTGGGTTATGAAGAAGCTATTTTTGGGCTGAATTTTATCAGCGGAATTAATAAGTTTGCAGTGATTAAAACATGTAGGCAGTTACTCATGAATCATTGCTCAAACCATCACAGCCTGCATTCGAATTCGTTTTTTTTCCTATTTTTAATTGAATAGTTTTGTTCCAAATGTTTGGCCAGATGCCACGGTCTTTCTGTATATTTCATAAGAAAATAGCGACATCAGGCACTTCTATATGAGTGGGTTTAAAATCTTTCATACGGGAAATACAGGAAACTTTGTAAAATATGAAATCAAAGAAGAGATAGGACCTTTTTTTGACTTTTTTAAACATGTATAGTATACCTTAAATTGTTATATCATAAAAACTTAGAATATTTGAATAAGAAAAAAAAACCTATAATTATTGTTTCGGAATTAAATAAATTGTGGCTTTCTAAGGTCTTTGTTTCGCCGAGTCTTTTGATTACAGCAAAACCATAAGCTTGTTGCAACTGGTTACCCACTTATGTAAAAATAGTCCCAGTAAAAGACAGTCATTTGATGATGACCGATGACCAAGTCCATCATGGCGGGCAGTTTAATGGACAGTTGACCAAGAGACGGATGGTAATGGGAAAATAAGCTGCCTGTTACATTCATTTTGGTAGCCACAACAAGTCTGTACATTTTTTTCTTTTGCCTTTTTTTTTCTTCAGTATATTTGTCCTCCTTTCTTTGGACTAGAATTCATGTGGAATTGATAGTTTTGGCCACTCTCAAACACTGGTTGTTTCTTTTCAAAAGGAGGTTTGAATTATTGATGCTTCAACATGGTTGTGTGATGGGTTATGGACAGACTTTGGTCAGCCAAATGGAGGGTTTACTGTCCGAAGCATGGTGACCATAACGGTGCCCCTACAGAGTTGTATTGGTATAGGGAAATGTTCAGAAAACCCTACTTTCCCTGCTGGGAAAGTGATTTGGTATATTACTTTCTTGAAAGAAATAGATTTCCTTGATACAAAAAAATGAGTTAAAGCAAACAACAAAAATTTTTTGTTTTTAAGATTTTTGTTCCCATACAGTTGTTAATGTCGATCCCTGTACATTTTTGTGTCAGATCATTGGGAAAGTAGTCTCTGATGGCGATTTCCCTACAGGTTTCGGCATTTCCTGGATTTTTTCAATGATTTACTGGACGAGAAAGTAAGATTTAACATAGATTTCCCGAGCTCATAAATAGCTTTTTCATGAGATACCGAGAAAGCAACATTTCGATCCCTGATAGCAGTTTCATCGTGATTGTTCCATGAGATCTTAGTATTGCTACAGTAAGGGCAGTTTTTAAACAAAAGTTTGAAAACAAATCCACATGTATGATTTTATCTCCAGCTGCTAAATATGCCACAGCTTCAGAATCAAAAAAGATATTTGTTTGTGATTAATTTTCACTTTTCACAGTTTATCTCGGTTGGCAAAATAGACAATTTTATGTTTGTTGTGAATACAAGGATATCATGTGAGGCATTTGATTTTTTTCTAATTGTGGAGCCCTGTGTTATCTTAATCAACAGACACAATGATCTCGTTCTCTGAGGTTTTATCACAATATGTTTTTTGATCTGAATGATTAAAGATTGTCTTTTGTAGCTTTTAGAATTATGTAACCTGGATGAGATACAAACACACGTGTTCGTAGCAGTGATGTTGATGTGAAGGGAATCCCTCAAAGCCAAATAGAAAATGTTTTGAATGTGGCTGTAGAAAGGTTGTTCAAATAGAGGCTTCGGGGATGTTTTGCCGCTGCCTGGTAGCCAGTGATGGCGTCTTGCGTTAATTTTTTTGCCGGAATTTTAAGTGAAGTTGACATTATACAGAGAAAGTTCAGTACTGGCAATGAAACAGACATTAGTGGGCAGTCAAGATTTAAAAAAAAAAAAAAAAAAACTATCAGTTGTATTTTATGAAAGACTCCAGTTTCCAGCAGAAGCAAAAAAGTGAGATAGTAGAGGTTCATTAATTCCTCACTATATTCAAACAAAATTGATAAATAATTATGTATGTTTGGCTTATAATAGCTGGATCATATTATTCAGAAGGTTCCTCAAGAAAGTTGAGTTATCAAAGACTGCATTATGAGTGATTTGAAATGATAAAATGGGAAATTGTCCTGTAATTGAAATTTATGAGAAATTACCGTAAATTGTACCACTTTTACTTTGTCAACCATAGTGGAGAAAGTTTCCCATCTTTTGTATCTTTATAATAACTGTGAGGTTTCTTCTTTTTTCTGATTTTTTTCATGTTTTTAGTAGTAACAGGCTTGCCCAAAATGATACAGTTGGCATAAAATTTGATGGGTCTTTGACATTTGATTGGAGAAAAAAATAAAAAAATAAAAATCAACATCTTTTGGTTATTTTTACTAGTGTTAAGAAATCGTCTGTGCTGGCTGTGTGAAATATGAGTCTAGCCATTAATAGCTTAACCGTTTAATTTGGCATAATTTGGCAAACTTGTAGTTATTTATTTTGAAATAGTTCTTTTGAATAACTTTCATCTTTCGTGTGGTATTTTGCCAGGTTGGATTCTGATTCTGGTTCTGGTTCTGGTTGCTTGGGTTGTGGTTCCAGTGTTAAAGGGCCCACTTGTTTCATTCCCCGACCAACATGTCTTGGCGGGGCCACCGTATATTTACACAGGTGGCAGTGATATCTGCTCAGCATCTCCTGTATTTCTTCAGGTGGCTGGACAGGGAAATAGAACAGCACATGTCAGTGGAGATGAAATCGTCCGACTGCGTCGGAAAGTTTTCCTGGCAATCGGAATAACCATGTACTGACTGTCTATATCTATCTTCAGATTTACCGTACATTTTCACAAAAAAATTAGCAAATCTGTTTGTTTGTTTGTTTTTTTTTGTTTCTGTAATCAATTCTTGGTGTTTCAAACTGTTTTGTACAACAGATTAATTTTTTTAAAAATCTGATTATTCATGTTTATTTTATGTTATTTTTGAAAGAATTTTTGAACGTCTTCATGATAAATAATATAAGAAAGATCAAGGCAAATTTTGTCTTTTGGTTCACATACAATTTCACATGAAATATTACAAGTGCTGGAAATGAGGAAGCGTGTCATTAAGTCAAGCTGATTGCACTCAGCTAGAGTCACTGCAGAGTTGGATCAATCTAAATAGAACAGTGGTGTCTATGAGAATGGAGTCTTGGACGTGTATAAGATGCCCTGGCCTTGATAGTCCGACTATGTGATTATATCAGCTCATTGATGTTGACATAAAAGTGGATTCTTTGAAGATTGGTTGAATTTTTTTTTTGCCAGACAAACTTCCATGAATAGTGTCTGTCTGTCTGACTGTCACAGATTTGTGATGAATGGGATGAGTGAACCAATACCTCTCATGAAGCTATTGGATCAAGTTGCCTAATGATTCACCTTGACCTTTTCAAGGTTTATTCTGAAGGGGGGGGAGGGGGTAAAATTCCTTTTTAAAAAATCAGCAAACTTCTCAAATGATCACCATAAAGAAGAAGATACATAGATGCATATGCTCATTAGATTTTTTTGTATGTCATTTAAGGTGTTGCCA